GGAGAAGATGGAGCAGATAACATTGATGAGTGAGTATATAACCCCACTCAATGAGATTGAACAACAGAATTGTATGTGAATGGATATATTGGATTGTGTAAGATATGGCAAAATAAATAATTATTATAGGGAAAAATAAATAAATAAGGGTTCCTGGGGGGTAAGGTTTAGAGGGAGGGGATAAAGGGGAGCTGATATCAAGTAGTTCAAGAAGAAAGAAAATGTTTTGAAATGGTGGTAGTAATCGTACAATACGGCTTGATGTAATTGAACTATGAAAAGTTATATCCGTACGAGCTCCCAATAAAGTGATAACAAAATATATATGTTATAATAATTATTCCTCAATTTTGTAAGAGTATCTCCTTCTTATAAAAACATGTATAATATTGCACGAAAACTCAAGGACCAGTCCCTTTCTCAGAGGTAGCTCTTAAGACACACAAAGATATCATTCAATATTGACTAAAGAATAGTCCATATTCATACCTCTAACTTCATTCAGCACCTACCATGTGCTGGGGGGCGGGGTGTGTGTTTCATCATGAGTCCTGTGACAAGTGTGAGTTTCTGAGAAATGACTGGTTCAAGGTCACAAAAGCAGAAAATGGCTGAATCAGGATTCCAACAAGTCTTTCTGACACCCTATACTGCCCTTTTCTCAGTATGTGCTGTTCTATTCTGTTCTTTTATCAAATTAAAAACTCCAAACTTGCTTCCATTAAGTCAATTCCAACTCATAGTAACCCTGTAGGGCAGGATAGAACTGCCCCTGTGGGTTTCTACAACTGCAAAAGTAAATAGCTGTCTTTCTTGCTAGCTAAGTGGTGGGTGTTTTAGAACTGTTGGCCTTTTGACTAACACCCCAACTTGTAACCCACTACGCTTATTTTTGGTAGAGGTAACTAAAACCAACATCTAAACCACTGAAACGAAAGAGCTGCCAAATTGATAAATGAAAGAGTTGGCCCAAAGTTAAACTTTTCAGTACTATTTCCTGCTACACCTTATGGTATCTCTTGTCCACAGCTCACAGCCATTTATTTCAATACAGACATTGCTCAAAGCTTTTATGCACTTTCTTGTTTTCTCTCTTGTTTTTCAAATCCATTTTGGGGAGAGCTAATACAGATATCATATCAATCACATCAAGGTTATATATATATGTGTGTGTGTGTGTGTGTGTGTGTGTGTGTGATATATATCTATCACATATGTGATAGATATATATCTAAAACTTAAAATTTTTCCTCAGAATGAAATTCATTCAATGTGAATATTTACTTCAAATAAAGACTGCCCTTAGAAATAGGCACTCACGTCATCTTCTTCAGGTGCATTTATTCTCACCGCATAGCCGAGAATAGCATTCCTTTGCTCTTGATGAGGATTTGGCTCCCAGTGGAGAAGAACTTGAGCTAAACCAGTAATCTTAATGGTGAAATTGACAGGTGGAAGAAGTAAAACTGTTGATTAAAAGAAAAAGGAAGCATTGTAGGTAAGCATGACTTTAAGCATGACATTAAAAGTATTTTATAGCATAATAAGAGGGAGTAACCAAAACAAAAAGAAAGCTCCACTTGGTGGAGCTTTCGTGGTATGCACCCAGTGGCATCACCTAGAAGGTTCTCTCTGGTCACAGTGAATTTTTTCATAAAAGCAGTTTCACTCAAACCTCATTTTTTGTGATGGCCAGTTTAAAAGGACAGCATGAGGCTGTGAAATTTTATTTCCTGCTCAGGAAAAATGCAGCAGAAACTGTTGTGATGTTGAACATAACTTACAAGGACAGCGCTATGGGAAAAACTCAAGTGTATAAGTGGTTTTCTCATTTCAAAAAAGGTGAAATGTTGTTGATGACAAACCTTATTCAGCATGTCCGTCAACTTCCCAAACAGAGATTAATGTCAACTCTTCATGCATTTGGAGTTCATTCGCCCAGGTCAAACTTAATCAAGCTTTCTATTTAGAAGTTCTCAAAAGATTGTGGAACAGTGTGTAACCAAAAAAAGGCCTGATTTGTGGCAGATGGGGGACTGGTTTTGCCACCACGGCAATGTACCTGCTCACACAGCCATCTCAGTGCACCAGCTTGTGGCAAAAAACAGCATACCTCTTTAGTCCCACACACCTTACTCATCTGACCTCACTCCATGTGACTTTTTTTTGTTTCCATGAATGAAGAGGGACATGAAAGGACAGTGATTTGACAATGTAGAATAAGTGAAGAAAAAAAATGAAGGAGGTATTGTCCAGCAATCCAAAGAGATGAGTTTGAAATAAATGTTTCCAAAATGGAATCTTTGTACATAATAAATTGTTTTGTAAAGAAAAAATTAAATGCATAGCTTAGACAATTAAATACATAGCCTTGTATTTCACCATGGCTTTAGAATGAAAAGGTGCTCTGGAGGCATAGTGGCTAACTGTTAGGTGCTAACCAAGAGGTTAGTGGTTCAAACCCACCAGCTGCTCCACTGGAGAAAGATGAGGCTGTTATGTTCCTATAAAGATTTAACATCTTGGGGACCCAAAGGGGCAGTTCTAAATGGTCACTGTGAGATGGAATCAATGTGATGGCAGTAGGTTTGTTTTTGTTTTATTAGAATGTTTATAAAGTTCTCAGCTACTGCTGAAGGTTGGGCATTTGAATCCACCTAGGAGCCCTGATAACACAGTGGATATGTGTTGGGCTTCGAACTGTAAGATAAACAGTTCAAAGCCCCAGCAGCTGAGAGAGAGTGAGAGAGAGAGAGAAGGCTTGCTACTCCTGTAAGGAGCTACTGTCTCAGAAATGCTTATCTGCAGTTCTATCCTGTCATATAGGGTCACTTTGAGTCAGCATCAAATTGATAACAGTGAGTTTTTGAGTTTGAAAGAGGTTCCACAGGAGAATTACCTAGTGATCTACTCCTATCAAAGAATAAAAGCAAGACAAACCCATTGCCATAGAGTGATTCCAGCTGCCTGGAAACCCTGTGCAGCAGTCTACTCTGCCATCTGTCTGTTGGAGGAACTATCCTTGGAGGCACCTAATAACAATGTAAGAAGGTATATTGCTGAAATAATTTTGGAAAAAGATTAGTGGCATTTTAAAAACATTCATTGTTTTAACTTTACCCGAGTGTTTATCTACAACACCTATATATTCCTTATGAAATATAAGCATTTTATTTTTATCATTATCCAGTAGTTTGGCAGTAACCCCCCATGATGTGACTTATTACATAAATCAGCTACATGGTGGGACCTGCTTTGAACAGATCATAATTGTAGGAATATAGAATGGAGTGCAACCCCTTACTCAGATCACAGTCCTGATGCAACTGGAAGTTTCCTCTAGAGTATGATCTATTTCCTATAATAATTGACACTGGGAAAATGATAATACACTTTTGAATCCTGTGTGTGACTCATCCACTCCTGGCTCTTTGGTTCACCAGATGGCCAGCCAACCCTGGGAGCCATCAGCAGCCCATCATCTGACCAGCCAACCTTGTATTCATCTGCCTCTGCATCCCTCAGTCTGTGGTCTTCCTTCTTTGTCTTCCTGCCTCCTGATTAGTCTTCCTGCTCCTTGGTTCATTAATCCCCAAAGCTATGTGAGCCAGAAGAAGCCTCCAGCTTAACACCTGACCCACAGATTTGAACAAGACAGGACTTAACCTGCTTCTACAATTGTGTGTTAGCCCTTTTCTTGGTGGACACATAGATACATAGATGTCACTGATTTTGCTTCTTTAGTGCAGGTTAAGACATCTTTTTTAAAAATAAAATTAGAACAGTATTGTACACACAATTATGAAACCCTCTATATTCACTTACTGAGTTGTCATCATTCCCCCATGACCTTCAATAGACTTCCCATCCTCCTGTGACTGCACCATACTTACCAGATAATGACATATAGGGCTTTGTCCACACTACACTATTCAATATGGGAGCCATGGACCACGTGCAACTTTTAAAATTTGAGTTAATTAATGGAAGTCAAATATCCCTGACCTTAGATCAGGAATTGCTTATGGTTAGTAATGGTTGTGTTTGCGCAGATCTAGAGCATTTATATTATCATAGAGAGCTCTAGAGAGGGAACTGTCACAGTTATTACTTCATGAACTCTGCCCTCATACCAAGCTCATAGATCCACATGTTTTTGAACAAAATATGATAGGCATTTTTTACTCTTTGGGTTTAACATTTTCTAACCAGTCCCTTGCCTAGAATGATCTTCCAAATGTGGCCACTAGCCCCAGCTCTTATATGTCCACACTGGAATATTATTTCCACTGCAGCATGGAAACCAACTTGCAATCAAATACACTCTCTTAAAATACAACAATTTTATGGGTTTTTTATTATGTTAAGAATATTCCATCCAAATACAGGGAATCCAGGGTGGATGAGCCCTACAGGACCAGTGGTGTGAGTGGCGATACTGGGAGGGTAGAGGGAGAGTGGGTAGGAAAGAGGGAACCGATTACAAAGAACTATGTGTGACCTCCTCCCTGGGGGACAGACAACCGAAAAGTGTGTGAAGGGAGACATCGGACAGGGCAAGATATGACAAAATAACAATTTATAAACTATCAAGGGTTCATGAGGGAGGGGGTAGCAGGGAGGGAGGGGGAAAATGAGGACCTAATGCCGGGGGCTTAAGTGGAGAGAAAATGCTTTGAGAATGATGAGGGCAATGAATGTACAAATGCGCTTTACACAATTGATGTGTGTATAGATTGTGATAAGAGTTGTATGAGCCCCTAATAAAATGATTATAAAAAAATAAAAATCAGCTGTAAACTGAAAAAAAAAAAAAGAATATTCCATCCCTTTAATATATAAATAAGATTCTTAATTGAGGATTTACCTAGGGGGAAAGAAAATGGTCTTTTTATAATGTATTTATTTTTAAAAGAGACACCCTTGAATTTCATTAAAGCCTCTTACATTTTTTATCAGCAAGTAAATCTGCTTGCAATGTCACTGTGATCCCCCAAAGAATCAGCAATGCAGCTGCCATCATGGTCACATCCTATGGAAATGAGAGACAACAATCCAAACTATTTCCTGATAACATACAGACTACTACATTCAAATGGCAGATGTAGTCTATTTGGCTACTTAATAAGCACTTATGAAATATTTATTAGTTGCTATAAAATAGATATAAACAGATCATAGAGTTTGCCCTTATAGTGCACAGTCATAGTCTGGAGTATAAAGTGAAATGTAAATAAATAATTGTAGCTAAGTATGACAAATGCTCCATTAAGGGTGATGGCCATAGAAAGAGCAAAGAGCCAACTGTGTTGACTCCTCAAGGGTGCACTGGAGTTAGTCACACACATTAGTGAGGAGAAGGTTGCTGGTGAAATCTATAGCATTTGCAAAGGCATGAAAAAAGGAAGGAAGATATTCTTTTTTAGTTTCTAGGTATCAGCTAGTCTGTTTCCAACTCAATGCAGCTCATCATAACAGAGAAGAACTGTCCCATGGGATTTTATAAGCTATTGTCTCTACAGATGTGGATTCCAGGTCTTCCTCCTGAAGTAAGTAGGAAAGGACTGAGAGTTGGAGATTAAAACAGATCTTTGAATAGTAACAGGGGAGCCCTGGTATCCTAGTGGTTGCGCGTTAGGCTGCGATCCTTCAAGTCAACAGTTTGAAACCACTGT